ATCCAACTGCACCTGGTGCCGAAGATGCTGGCGCCACTGGTGAGCCTGTGGGTGCCAAGCGCGTACGTCGTCTCCTTCAAGCTGGAGACGGATGAGAACCTCCTCGTGCCGAAAGCGCGCTCCGCATTAGAGAAATACAAGCATAAGGTAACATCAAAAATTGAATCTTTGAAATAGTAACATTGACCAATATTTAATGATAGGTAGTCTTTGTTGCAAAATCGGTAGCCACTAATAGACCGAAGTGAAAAAAATTACTTGACCAAACCAAGGCCCACAAAGGGCTGTAGAGCTAAGGAAGAAGTCTTTGTTGCAAGGGGAAAGGGGGTGGTAACTATTCCCCCTCCCACCTCTCGAGGATCGAAAAATGTAAAATATATATAAAATTTACTTAGATAAGTATATATCAATGGAATCTAGGCACTCCCCACCCCTTTAAAGCTAGCATAACCCCCTAAGGCTGGCAACGCCCGTATCTTTATTGTTTGAAGAATTGCTTAATGAAAGAGTTTAGTCAAACATATTTAAAAACTATGTATCTTTTAAAGGAGATAATTATTATAGCTAGCCTTCAATCTTTCCTTAATGCTTTATTATCCTGATAAAAAAAAACCCGATGAGAAGGTGGATATTTTATGAGAAACTTGTTTCCTATTCGTATAAGTTACAAAAGATTTTTTTGTAGATGGTGGTAGCGAACCTCCTGCAGACTCGGCATCACCGCGTGGTGCTGGTGAAGCCTGATGCAAGCCAGGAGATCCTCCTCACCAGGGAGGAGGTACACGCAGGTATGACAACACATAACTTTAAAAAGTTATAAGTAATCTTTTTTTAAGGGCTGGAGTAGTGTAGTGCTTTTTTGTTCTTCGTTTCTCAAATAAATTAATCCGAAATTCAGCTGTTCACTATTTAGATATAATTTTTTTTAAAGAAAAATCTTTCAAATAATTATACCTTTATCTCTAGTATGAACTCGATTTGTGCCTTTGCCATATAACAAAAAGAAAAAATATAAAACATTATCCATACTACATGTAAAAAGCCATTGTGTGCTTTTGCCTTTTTATCAAATAAAAAAAACAAATGGCCAGTATGAACTGCCAGTTCCAAACATCCATACTAAATGTAAGAAGCCGTCGTGTGACTTTGCCTTTTTAGCCAATAAAAAAAACAAATGGCCAATGTGAACAGACAGTTCCAAACATACATACTAAATGTAAAAAGCCATTGTGTGACTTTGCCTTTTAATCCAATAAAAAAAAAACAAATAAATAGCCAGTGTGAAAAGACAGTTCCAAACATACATACTAAATGTATGAAGTCTGTGCCTTTGCTCTTTTATAAATTTAAAAAAACAATAAAAAATACCAGGTGTGGACATCGAGGCGTCGATAGTGAGTGAGATAGTGCGCCTTCATACGGTGCACCTTGGCGGGCCGAGCGTCCCCGCCGCGCGCTGAGTGTCGCGCGG